ATATACATGTGAAAGTAGGTTAATGATTTCCGGGTCTTAATTATGTTGTTATGGACATGTTGTGGTTTGCGGTTTGCGGTTTCGTCAAGGTCATTGGTTACGTCACGCCCATTGACCTACTTTCACCGTCATGTACGTAGGTGAAAGTGGACGCGTTCTGGTAGGACGCGTTCTGGTAGGTTATCCAGAACCGTGAAGGTCATTGGTTACGTCATTACATCATTACATCATTAGTTCCATCACTATTTCTCTTAATGATGTATCATGTACGAACATAATACACACAAGGGAAAGTAGGTTATTGATTTCCGGGTCTTAATTATGTTGTTATGGACATGTTGTGGTTTGCGGTTTCGTCAAGGTCACTGGTTACGTCACGCCCATTGACCTACTTTCACCGTCATGTACGTAGGTGAAAGTGGACGCGTTCTGGTAGGACGCGTTCTGGTAGGTTATCCACTACTATATATATATATAAATGTATGTGTTTGTAAATATAAATATAAAATTATATATATATATATATATATATATATATATATATATATTTATATATTGATCACTTTATAGTGTTATGAAGCATGGCTAGCCTGACTTACATGTTGGGCCAACAAGCCAGTCATTAGCGCCTTGCAGAAGAATAGTGCGATATATAATAAATGATCCTCTCTAATTCAACTAGAAATATAGTGAATATTACTGTGGGCAACAAGGCCACTTCCAAACACTGATTCTGTTGGCCTGTGACCCACATGCTACCTGCTGCTCTACGCAACACCTGCAGAATACGACAGGCGGCCTCGATGACCTCTGGAGCACGCTGCGCAAAAGAAACACGTGGTGGGAGGACGTGGACGCTGTGTCGACGGCTCTGCCCAACCTTCGCGTCACGCTGAGGTCAGTGGATGTCCATGGCAACATTAGACTTGACATATAGGTATTATCGCTTCATACCGATTCGATGTTAAGAGGGTTAGTGAACTATTCTTCACGTTGCTGATTCCCTTACTATTTCGCATAACAAAAGAGGCTGCTGATTTATAATCCCTCAGTTAGTTAATGTATCAGTAAACGAAAGAGACTTACTTCAGCAAGAAATGAGCCCAAGGTGGGTGGGGCTTAGTGCGTCATTATTTTCTCCATTTTGTACCAAAAAACTTGTAATGCATTTAAAAAATCTTCCTCTCAGGTTCTGCACATTTATGGTGAGTAACTTCACGTCCTTTGAAAACAACAAAGGCGTTCTTCTCCTGAAGAGGATGGCAGCGGGAATCGACCCGGTTCCCGATCTCTTGGTGACCGGTGAGTGAGCGAGAACGTGCAACTACCTTTTACACTTTAGATTTCACAAAATGAAAAAAGTATCTTTGTATATTTTCATTCTGCAGTTATTAAGCTTATACATTCCCTACAGGATATTCTTCCTGGACTCTGTCAATAATGGACTGGGGATCCACGATTCCTTACCTCAGTGTCATGGACCGCGCGAGGGAGGGCGTGAGCCGGCTGGCCTCGCTGTTCCACCGCCTGTCGCTCCGGACTCGCGTCCTCGTGCTGTCGGAGAGCAGAGTGAAGCCGTTCGCGCGGCATTTCCATCCTTGGCGCTTCTACGTCTTCTCCGATAGTAACGTCGAGTGGGTCGAGAAGATGTTCTTCCATTACCTTCAGCAGGTAGAAGAGACTCAGATCCGAGAGAGACGGTCGCCCTCGGGCTCTCGGCCGGAGAGCGACTGGCTCAAGGCCGACTCGGAGGGCCTCTGGTGGTGGGACTCGTCCCTGCCTCATGGTCTGGCCGTTAGGGCTCTGTGCGCGGAGCTGCACGCCGAAAACCTCACTCTCATGCCGCAGTACGGCCGCTTGCGGTGCAACGACACCAACCACGCCGGCGAAACAACGCTACAAGTGAGGGCGACTATGTTGCTCAACCTCGTATGCAACGCAGCTGTCACTTTGCAAGCTGACAATGTTTGTTGCCAGTAGATGTTCATTTATCCATGAATACCTCGCTTCCAAGAAACATATTATTCGTTCTTTTATTTTT